ACTACTTGCGACTGTGATTTACATCAGACTTGATTTCACAACCTGAATCTTTCTAGAACCAGTTCTGATTGCATGCAGCTCACGCTGATAATTAGAAAGCTAAATATCCATAAGTGCCAGAGATGCCTATTAAATTTCAATATGACTTAAATATATATATAGTCATATCTAATTTGTGTCGCTCTGGCAAAGTGGCTTTTGACAGGATGTTTGAAAGCTGCCTTTTGGATTATCTGAAGATGTCAGTGCAGCGTTCGGAAATGTAACAAGTTTATGGTTCAACGCTGGGAATTATCACAATTAACATAGCAAGGGACTTAGGGCAAGGTACATTCAACTATGTCGCCCCGACATAACTAACAAGATTTAGTGTGCTGACAAATTATTGATGAATGATACTGAAAAAATGACATGGTAGCGTCATCAAAGCCCATAATAATGAATACGATTTTGTTTAAATAATTATTCTGTCATCCTTTTTGTAGATAACCCATCAACCCTGATTCAACGTGCTTTCTAGCCTTTTTGATAATAAGAATCCTGAGATTGTAGTTCCGCAAAAGAGATAAATCCGCATCCTAAAATCATATAAAAGCTATAAATGCTTAAAACACATTAATTTTGCTAAGGAAAATCGGAAAATACTAAGACAAGCTTAAAACTCCAACACTGCTACACATTAGCAAGCCGAATTACGGTAGCACTTGTCCTAAATACAATCGCTTAAAAAGCGAAATAGTTGCCAACCCTCAACTTCAGAGGAGCTAACGATTACATAAAAAAGGAAGTTATTGCTCCAATAAGCTTAGGTAATATATGGGTTGTTCAAATGAATAAGGGTAAAATGATAGAGGAGCATTTCTCACTTGCTAACTGTGATGAGAAGGGATTTGACCATATCAGCCGGCTTCCTGTTCTCATTGGGCCTACGCGCAGCCAGACCAAATGAGCTAGCGATGACATCCCCACCAAGGCCAAGTCGCTCGTAGCCCATGCCGTAGATATCGCGAACAAGCATATCTACTTGCCGGTGGTCGCCCTGATCGGCAAGCTTGAGTAGTTCATCAAAGGAGTTTTCGCCTAAAAAGGATAAGATGAAGCAATCAAGCTAGCACTATTATACAGTCAAAGTACCACTTTATCCCATAAGAACATAAAAGGAAAATGCTCATTAAATTATCCTAACCTCTTGCCGTAACCCAAAGAATCACCTGGGATTTATATAATTACATATTAGAAGGTTTTAAGTATAAGGAAGGCTTGGCTGGAATTGGGACAAAGTGAAACAAAAGGTAAGGAGTATAAATAAAACGAAAAATTTTAGCAAATGTATGGAAACTAA